CTAAGACATGTCTACGACTATTGCATGCTAGGAATATTAGACAAGTATCGTATTAACGACAAAAGAGGCAGACAAAGCTGTTCACGCAATATTGAACCTGTTTCAAAACAGGATTTTTCATTTCGCTTACAAAGTCTTCATCTTCTCGTCTTCCCCTATAATCTTCAATCGGGCTCACCATTTGCAAATATAATATTGTGTGCTACTTTAAGCATAAAAAACAAGCAAATTAAAAGCTTAAAAAACCAAACAAAATGTTCGAATGTTACACCCTCTCGATACAGCAAGAGGCGAGTGTAAATCCGACACACTTTTTATCACCAATGTCGCAAGATTTTAATCGCATCCACTTTGTACTTGACTTACTTACAGATTGAATCATGATTTCTCTAGGGCACACGGTTAAATCAGCTAGTTCAGTGTTGGATAATGATGGAATGGCCCTGGTTTAAATCCTTAGTGGAATGTTTTTCAACGTGGACAATTCGATTACTTTTTACGGCTCCACATCTTTTGGGCCTGGTTATACAGAGGCTAGGGCTAAATTCACAGAGGTGGACCTCATTTACATAACGCTCCCTTGTTCCAACAGTTAGGTTTACGGAAGTCGTGGCAACTCATTGCGTATTTTGAGTTCTGCCATAATTTTCATCCCAACACTCACTTATCAGTGCCAAACATGGACCACGAACAAGACATTAGAAATGCGATGCCTTAGAAAAGCAGTAAACAAGACCAGGCGAGACAAAATTAGAAACACAGTAATCAGAGAAATGGTGGGCACATGATGTCATGCATCACATCCAACACCAAAGAATCAAAAAGGGTTCGGACATCTCACGCCATTACCAACACACCACCTGGCACAACGTGCCTACATAAAAAATCGATGGCAACAAGGCTAAAGGGCGACCGAGAAAGACCTGGACAGATGGAGTCAGGGAAACATTAACAACTCACGGCATCCCCCTGACCCAAGCTCTCCGGCTGGTGGCAGAGAGGCGTCCCTTTCTTCCAGCGACACCCAAAAGGGTATAAGCGGCGGATCGGATTAAAGTAAAGGTAAAAGTAAGCCATCATTTTCGGGAAGCAGAAGTTGGTTTTTATTTTGAAACATAAAATCATTGTAAGTGTTTTACGTCCCCATCGACACAGTCTAGACCAGTGCCCAGACTCAGAGGAACACGGCACCCCAGCAGAAAGACCGAGATACTCGATAAAAATATTCTCCCCTCACAGGAAACGAACTCGGGTCTTCTGCATGCGACAGTGAAGCGCTTAACCGCTATACCACAGACGCCGGTGGAAACAGAAGACGTAAACCTATATTTTGCAAATTAATTGTGAGAGTTTAGTATATTTTTCTTTCAGCACTATAATACCATCATACTATAAAAAGGCGGTGTTGGATCTGGTTGGAAACTTAAATTGAAATAACATGTATTTGAGTTAGTTGTCAACGCGTCGGTAGTCTAGTGATTAGGCTATCGGACTCAACGTAAGAGGAAGTACTCTCAGGAAGCCAGGTAGCTGCATAACAAAGAAAGTTTTGGATTGGAACCCACAGGGCAAGAGATCAAGGGGAAGACCCCGTGGAACCTGGAGAAGAATCGCAGAAATCGATGTACAGAAAAGTGGGAAGACATGGAATAACATCAAGAGGCTAGCCCAGGATAGAGAGAGGTGGAAAGTGTTTGTCCGTGGCCTACACCCTGGTACAGGGTAAGAAAGGCAATGATGATGATGATGATGATGATGATGATGATGATGATGATGATGATGATGATGACTCCTCAACGTAAACGTCAGACTGCGGGTTCGAGGATTAGCTTGGTCCGAAGTTGAGTCCTTGGGAAAGACACTGAGCACAAATTCCAGCTGGGTTGGGTTCTAACGGAGAGACTGTTAAATTCGGAGGTCCCGTCTCTTAGCTTTAGCTTAGGCTACAGAGTTGCAGGGGGTGTTAAACTTATTCTATAATATGATGTAATAATTCTAATTTCGAGGAGTTGTCGTGGCTTTCTGCTGACCTCTTTGGTTAGGCAAGGCGTTATATCAAAGCCCTACCTCTTAGTTTTAGAGAGAATTTTGCAGCACTTACAACACATATAGGTCAAAATGATATACGTTCCGACGATGAGGGGTGTTATTAGAGGATTACATACAAACAAACAAAAAAGAGGAGAAGGAGGAGAGATAATGGCGAAGATGTCAAGCAGGAAAGAAGGAGAAAACCACACTAGAGCACCCGCCAACCGCACGCAGCCCACCTCTAATTATAACCGTACTATGTTCAAAGGAACGTTTAAGGTTCATCAGCAGAACCAACCAGGAAAAAGCCACAGAGATCCCCCCCCCCCCAGGGCAATGCCACTGGCTAAAGTGTCTTTAGACCATTCCCAAAGGGGGGATAATTAACATGTTCGCACGCACTGTAGAATTGTAAATGGGCTTACTTAACAATGTCATGCTCATACTGTGCAGAAGCAACCTAGGGGGA